CTTCCTAGAAAAGATGGAGGGAGAAAAGCCCGCCAGTCACCACAAACAACTGCATAGACTAGAATCTTGCAGGGATCCCGCTCAGGATAGCTCTGGGGCTGTGTGACCCACAGGGCACTGGAGTGAGACAGGCAGATGGCGGGGGACGGGGGGTTAGAACCAGCCCTGCACTCCTGGGCCAGGCCTCTGAGAAGAGGCAATTCCCACTGCCCACCCAGAGGGTGACTGCAATAGCCAGGGAGCCTAGTAACCACCCACTCACCCACCCGGTCGTGACAGTAGATTGTGCCACAAATCCAGCCAGCCCCAAGATATACAGTGGGACGTGCTCTTAAGAGTTACAGCCCGTCACCGAGGACTGATAACACCCCGAAGCTGAAGTGTTTATCTCTTCCCGTTCCTGCCCCTCTGACTCTGAATCAAATTCTCCGTCTATAAAACCCTCTATAAATTACAGATACCCGAGTGGAATATCCTAAAAGCTCTGCAGGAGACAGGCAGGCCCTGCAGAGACTGCTGCTGTGGCTGGTGGGAGAAGTGTGGGGCAATGGTGCCCCCCAGTGGGCACAGGGCCTTGCAGCCGATTTCAAAGATGGACCGCTCCCTGCCCCTTCTCTCCCTTGTCTCTCCCCTCACGTACTTCCCAGGAAAGTCCCTCTGGAAAAGCCAGGACTGCAGATACCTGTGATGTCCTCCACGCTTCCAAAGGACCCGCAGGACAGGCTGGAAGGGACAGGGAGACACAAAGGGCAATCACCAGGCCTCAGCATTTCTAGTATCGATTTGTGTCATGCTGTGCCCCTGCTATGCTAACATGGCTCCTCACAGCCAGGACCGGACTGAGGGGGGCGCAGGGCTCCACCCCCTCCCGACTGCAGATACCTGTGATGTCCTCCACGCTTCCAAAGGACCCGCAGGACAGGCTGGAAGGGACAGGGAGACACAAAGGGCAATCACCAGGCCTCAGCATTTCTAGTATCGATTTGTGTCATGCTGTGCCCCTGCTATGCTAACATGGCTCCTCACAGCCAGGACCGGACTGAGGGGGGCGCAGGGCTCCACCCCCTCCCCACCCCGCGCCCTTCTCCTGCCCCCTCCTGCCCCCATTACACCCCATACCCAAAGCACCCTCTCCCTTTCAGCCTGCTGTGCTCTGCTTCATCACAGAGGCAGGAAGCAAAGTGCCCTGGGACTGGGGCCAGGTCACCCTGCTTGCTGCTGCCGCGGTGAAGCAGAGCACAGCGGGCTGGGAGATGAATCAGTGAGGTGAGGTGAATGGGAGCAGGCTTCTGGGTCTCTCCGGCTCCCACAGTGAGTGCAGGAGGGCCTGACCCCTACTGCCACCCCATGCCAGGCTTCCCAGGTAATTCCCCAGGCCGCCCTGGGCCCCCCCCATGGCCAGGTCACCCTGCTTGCTGCTGCCGCGGTGAAGCAGAGCACAGCGGGCTGGGAGATGAATCAGTGAGGTGAGGTGAATGGGAGCAGGCTTCTGGGTCTCTCCGGCTCCCACAGTGAGTGCAGGAGGGCCTGACCCCTACTGCCACCCCATGCCAGGCTTCCCAGGTAATTCCCCAGGCCGCCCTGGGCCCCCCCCATTCCCGCCCCTCCCACTGCACTGCACACAGCCGACACCCTTCGTGTCAGAGTCCCCCCTCCACGAGTGCTCTTACACCCTTGAATGCCGGTGCTCCTCCCCTCAGCAGCTGTGCTCCCTCCCACCCAGCCAGCACCCTGCACCCTGCAACATTTCTCAGCTTTTCGGCAGTTTCCCTGCTTTGCGAAGCTTTTGCCAGAGACTCCAGGATTGAAGCCCCTCGGCGCGCCTGTCAGCCATCCCCTCTGCCCTGCCGGCACAGCAGGAAGCTGGGAGTGGGGTAGCTGCCCTGCCCCAGGGCCCCTGCCTTTGGCAGCACCAGTTGGGGAGGCTGGAACTGAAGCGGCGTGGGAGGGATTACAGTGAGGCATGGCAGGGCCAGGTCGCCAGGGGTTACCTTTTGATAGGCCCAGATTCATCTTCCCGCTGCCGTCGGAGAATGGAGCCAGCGCAGGGGGGGAAGGGGAAGGTGGAGAGGCGGTTAATGTCCTTCTCGCTCTCTGGAGTCACCTCCTGAAGAGAGCAAGAGAGACACCACATTGCACCACACCCACCATCCAGATCCACCCTCAGCCCGCTTCCCACAGTGCCCCCATGGTGCCATCTTGCTCCTCTCTGGGTGGGTCTCCTTCAGAGCCCAGCCACTGCCAGGGCCCGATTAAGGG